CGAGGCAATCAAGTACTTAACTCACAATCAGATTATCTCAAATACGCCAGTCAACGTAATATAACCACTACAAGTGGCAATGATATCGGTGATAATGCAATAAATAAACTATTTTAATCTAGTAATAATTGAAATCGATTCACATGATCCAATAACTAAGCCGAACAAACGAAGGCATCATGCCTGTATGTGGTGGCATCATTACGTCAGTGCAAAGCAATGTGCGGATAGGGGCGATGGAATATATGTGACAAAACAAACAACACATCATAAATAACATTTCCGTGTAAATAACGTTTTCATAGGACAATTGTATTGAAGAAAATGCTCGAGGATACAGAATATACGTAATCTGTTAGATATGCAGATGAGATGAGACGACGACATGAAGACATTCGCGGCAGTAGATTCATTTCAACGACAAATTTATGCGTTGAATATGCGAAATGAGAACCACTGCAAGCCATGTTATAACGGCTTGTTACAAGCTAGGTCTAACAAGCCTAAGATGTCGCCTATATACTGCACATATCACTTGCTGTACTAATTCTTCATGACCACACGAAACAATCATATTCTGAAGAGGAACATTTTTTGATTGCAAAAATGGTAGTTCAACAATACGCACAGCAAAGCCAGATTTGACAAGTTGACTTNAAAAACTAACTAAAAAGTTTTACCACTTAGAGAGGGCTCATAAAAGACGAGTTTGGTTCCCTTGAATCTCAAATCAGCCACTCGTAACAAATTCTTGATCGGAGTGCCCATCTTAATTGCAACATTTGCTTGCGAAGTCGATATTTGGACTCGATTCCAATGAAACAAACCTGAGCGGCCTTTTTGAGCTGTTCTTCGAGCACACACGATACGGAACGTAAAATTCGATTGCTTGAATCAGGAGGTACTTGATTGAAATCAGTTAAGTTAGTGATGGTGATAAGATTCACATCACTAGCACTTCCGATGCTCTTCTCATTGTCACTTTCTGAGGAGCGCTGCAGTTGGAGGTGATGCCTTCTGGCCGGATGAAACGCCGCAGACGCTTCACATTGTGAATCTGAATCAGAGTCACTACTCCTCGACTGCAGATCACCCAATATATTACAGCTCATCGTGGCACAACCCTCATTAAAGCGCGTTTTTTTCTGAAAATTACTCAATTATCACGGCAAACGAAAGCAGTCTCCAACGCTCAAGCCCTTTAGAGAACGCCTTTCGAACAGCCAAATAACATGCATTTTCGAAAAAAA